GGGGATTGAAAATGTACAACCTTTTAAAGTATGGAGTAGCATATTTATACTCCAAAATGTTTAGACCTATATATAAATATTCGAATCTTTAGTATATTCAACAATCATCCAATAAATTCAGATTAACTTCTAGTAATCATGATTATTAATAAGTTTTAGGAATATTATAATTTAAAACATCCAAAATTCCTTTTAATACTTATCAAAAATTAAAAATTAAAGGTTAAACATAAGAATTACTAACTTGTAAGTGTGTACAACATTTTGGATATATATATATATATATATACCAGCATCCATAGGGTAAGAAAAAGACAAGAAGAATAGTATGTGCTGATCAGATCAAAGAAGCACTCACGTGCACTTTTGACCAAACAGCCTCGTCCGCAACTGTATCTATAGAGCATTTAAAACAGGAAAGGAGATGAAACATGATGTGTCACATTTAAGCTATAAATGTGTCGCAATATTCGGTAAATATCATCTGAATTGACCTCATGTATGTCATCCTTGGCGAGAAAGGAATCGCTAAAACTATAGAAACATCATGACATCCAAATAAAAAATAACGCTAATATTCCACTAAAGATTGCAATACAGAAAGGTGCAATAAAAACTCACTCTACAATGCCTTCCTGTCTCCTTCAACGCCATCGGTTCCCTACTTCAGCAAGTCTAACTGAAGTACTATCAAGTCTCCGGCTGGTTCCATACGAGCTCCTGCCATTCGTCCGAGAGGAATTTCAACTTTCTGAGTCGTTACGGAACCTGCGAGCTCGATCTTGCCAAGAACTTTGTTGCATCGCAATCACCTGCCACATTAGTAGGAGAATTACCAATCTTTGGAGGCAAAAGATTATGGAAGGCTTTACCTTGTCGCTTATTAGAGAATCCGTGATAGTCTTGTCGCTAGCATCCTCTGTGTCATCAACATAAACAGATTCCATTTCAAGAACTGGGGAATCAGCAGATGCTCCAAACAGGCACTTGCCTAGGCACAAGGTGTGACCCGAGCACCTATTAAGCAGTCCAAGCAAGCGCTTTCAATTAAGCGCTGCTCAGGCACGTGCTTGAGCCCAGGCGGCAGGCAACTTAGGCATGCACTTGAGCCAACAATGGGATTGGGTTAAATCTAATTCAATTTTGTTTATTGATTCTACTTTGATTGAACCTGATTAGTCTCTCTTCCCAAATCTAATCATTGAGGCAACATCTTCCTCTCCATCGATGGATGACTCCAACGTCTTTCTTTGATGAGCTCTTCTTCAGAATTTCTCTTCTTCTCCCTCCCTCTCCTTCGGTGTCGCATTCTCCCCCTACCTCGACCTTGACAAACCCCTATCCTCTCCTCCTTGCATAATGCGTTGAGATCCCTCGGAGCCCAATAGAGCCCTCCCCTCCCTCTTTCTCCCAAACCCTCACACAGAATATTCATGAAGTCCATCGCAAAAGCAGATCAGTGGCATGGTCGCAAATCAAAAGTCATAACCTGCACAATAAACATACATGATAGTAAAATATCATTGAACAAAAATTTAAAATATAAGTACCATAATTGAAAATAAATTAAACTACTTACCATCTTTGAAGCCAAAGAGTATCTAAGAAACTTCAGTAACTTCTTCCCACCTTTCTAAACGAGATGCATTTAAGTAAATATGATGGGCCATACTATACTCGCAAAAGCATTAGATGATTAGAACATATAACAACTAGGCATCATTCACAGGATTAAAGTAGGAAATCTACCAATAAGTTTCTATGAAAAAGAAAAATGCAACATGTAGTCTAACAGGTATCTTTACACAATTTTTAGACAAGACATTGATTAACAAAAACATGAATTCAATAAAATATACAGAGAAGTAACTTCCCCTGGTTTTAGAGTAACGAATGTTGAAAGCTAATTTAAAGTAATGTTCAGGCTTCAACCTAGAAGGATTAACATGTTCCAAAAAAAGAATTGCGTATTAACATATTCAGTCCATTCACATGCACACATTCATACAAATGATGCAGACATTTTAATCGCATTATGTTACCAAAATCAGTTCTTATACACCCAAACTCTATGCCCATATTCACATGGCTTTCTTCAAAAGATAACTCTATAATGACGAAAACATAGAAGTCCCACAGGTCTCCTTGAACGAGAACATTCACTGTAAGAATGGAAAAGCAGTGGACGTGACTACCTAGGTTCTTGAACTCATGCTACAAGAACGAGATAGATGGAGAGCAAAAGGCTGTCCTCCACCACCAATGCGGACCTCACCACCCGCCACAGGAGCATACTGCTTCCTGCACCCAGGGCAGCGTCCGTCTGCCTCGAGAATCCGTTTGTGGCAAAACAAGCAAAGGCGAAAGCCACAGTTACATGGGAGGAAGCTCGAGTCAGTTGGATCCAGGTCCTCATAGCAAATGGGGCATGAAGACGGTGTGGAGAGGATGCCATGCTGTGCGCACCCGGCTGCAGCAAGGCGCCGCTCTGTGCTCACCGGCAAGCTCCGCTGCTTCGAAAGGTTGGGCAAGCTCTGTGGGCGGGAAGCATCGTCTGGCCTCCAAGCTCTGGGCACCATCGGCTTAGCAACAGGCTTTGCCAAACCCTCATGGCAATCTTTGTCCATGCCACAGGGAATTGACTTAGAATCTGGGTTTCCGGCGACAGGGTTCGAATCGGGTTGTTCATCGACGACAGACAATGCATCAGCAAAGGCTTCCCAATCGTCCATGCCCCCTTTCTCATCACCTCTCTCCTCACAATCATCTTCCTCCTCTTCAGCATCGCTGATACTTCTCGAGGAGGATCCATAGCTGCTTAAACTCTTGACACTCTCGTTTGGGCATCCATTCATGGTGCTGCCATGAGTTGGAGAACCGTCCTCGCTGTCGTTAGAGATCGATCCATCCCGTTCCGCTACAACCCGATGCTCCTCCTTCTGCTCCTCTTCCTTCAACCTCCCGTTCGACTTCTCAGAAGGAACCGGATGACGGGGAGGCGACGCAGCGGGCGGCCGCCTGCTCGTCACCACGCAATCCTTGTTCCTCACTGCAGATCGGCAAACAAAGCCGAAGCAGGACCCAGTTTTTAGAGCAAGAACATCAAAAACACAAAAACCCAATAAACAAAGATCGATCGATCCTCCAAGTAAACAAACCAAAATCCCCAAAAATCCACAATCAAAACCCTAGCGCCAAATCAATCGGGACGGGTACCTTGCGAGAGCCACTGCTCGCGCCGCGCGTCGAGCTTGCACTGCTTCAATTTCGCGGACCTGTTAGTCTAATCGTCACAAAATATGACGTCAGAAAAGCAATTGAGATCCAATGTCGAGAACGAAGGAGGAGGAGGGAAGAAGAATCGGTACCCTCTTTTTCCTGGCGACGTCCCGCGACATGGCGGTGAGATAGGCGTCGTCGGCCACGGCATCGGAACCCATCTCCTCCTCCTTATCTTCCTATGGCTTACAAGAAACCTCCTCTCTCGCGATCGAGGGGTGAGGAGACGACGAGCGACGAGACCAAATCGAAACTGTCAGCCAAAGAGCTTGCGGTTTGCGCTTTCTTTAAGTCTCTTCCTTCATTTCGGTCCAGAAATATTTATATTTACTAAAATATCCCTAATATTTTACGGCATTTATTATTATTTACATAATCTGCTTAGTCAATTCAGTTACCGACACACCTATCATCATCACACCTACCGGCGTAATTATTGGAAGTCATGTGGGCCCTTGACAACCATCTGGAAGTCAGCCATGGGGCCCACACTGAACCCAATTGCGGGTGCTGTCGCAGAGAGGTTGTTATTGAGTTAGAATCACACCGATTACGGGCGTAAATGAACGGTCTTAATCGAATTAATATGGATCAAATCTGAGTTCATGATCCTTATGCCATCCGAGCGGATCCGGGTTCAACTCATTTGCACGGGTTATCGGATCCGCTGATGCCGCTGTGAGATAAATGAACCGTATTAATGTATAAACAATGGTATTTGGTTGGTGATGGGATAAGTACTCCGATCACAAAGCCTACCAAATTGGTGGGGCCACCATGAGAAGAGCGTACACTTATGACTCTTCTTGCTTACGTCTGCAATTTATGTAAATGTGAACTGGTTTAGTATGATATTATATATATATATATATATATATATATATATATATATATATATATATATATATATATATATATATATATATATGAGTTAACGGATGTTAGAATGCGTTTATATCGATATATTAATTCAGAATAAATTATTTATATATATATATATATATATATATATATATATATATATATATATATATATATGAGTTACTAGAATTCATATGATATGTTGATTCATAATAAATTATTAATATAATAATACATATAATTTAAGTTTAAAAATGATTTAAATTTATTTTAACTCTTGTAGTTTTGATCATAAACCACTTAAATCTTTATGATTTATATATAAATAAAATAATCTTTATATTTTTAAAAATATAATATATAAATCTCTTTTATTAAATTTAAGTTAACAGACGTTAAAGTTTACTTACATTACATGTTGACTCACAATAAATTATTATTATAATTATATTTATAATTTAAATTTTAAAGTGTGTTAAGGTTTATCTTGTCGAGGAAGATGAAGCAACAAAGGTCATAACGATAAATAAAGATATAGAGGTAGAGGTAAGAGAGCTTGGAGGCGGAGGTAATAAAGAGTCGAATATCACGTCATAAGAATGGTGAGTGAGAGAGATAGGAGAGGATGAAGTAAGAGTTGGTGGGGACGAAAATATTCAAGAGAAGGAGGAGATATCGAAAGGCTATTGCGTATCTAACGTCAGATTAATTGATACATATCCACTTTAGGCATGACCAAAAGCTCATGAGCTTATTGTTAACGTAGGAGAGATGGTATGTGTACGATGCTTTATTAAATAATAATGACTTAGGATTACTATTGGTGATCATTTTCATGATGATGTCTCCTCCCGTTATTGATGATAATCTTTTTTTAAACTTAAATTATATATGTCATTATATTAAATGATTTATTATGAATCATGTTTCAAACTTAAACTTGATGGGAGAGATTTATATGCTATATTTTTAAAAATATTGGGATTATATTAGATATGAATAAATTATAAGAGCTTAACCGATCAAAATTATATATAGACTAAAACGAATCTTAATTATTTTTTAAATTTAAATTACATCTATCATTAATAAAATAATTTATCAAGATCGATGTGCCCACGTGTGGATTTTCTTGTCTCGTGAAGTTCAGCAAACACGAAACTTTTACCGGGACCCATCATCTCTACGTGAAGCTCCAGCTGGACACGTTGGGCCCGTTGGAACCACCGCGCTCCCTGTTTGTTCTAAGACGGACGATCCGGATCCATCAAACGAGCCATGTCGGGATCCCGCAAACAGCACTCCGTCCGTTTGGGTACAGTGTCGACGGTCAAACGACCATTACTACGTTAAAAAAACTAAATTACCCTTCTGCATACTCGACGCACCTGCGCCAGAGAAATAGCGGGCCCCTTGGCACCACGCCAAAGATCGCACGGGTACAGAGGTAAAAATACTCTTGCTGAGGTCATCAGTCTTCTCCCCGTTCGTTTCTTCTCCGTTCCGCTACTCACCGATTTATATCTCTCGGCTCCTCCATTCCTCCCCCTCCTCCTCCTCTCTAATTCCAGTCAATTCCCAATCCTGGAGACTGAGCGGCACAAAAGGAATGGCACGGTAAGTGGATTCCATCTCAGATCTCCTCTTCTCCTCCTTGCAGCTACCGAGTGATCTCTGGACGCAGCGGTTTATCGATCTCTTCCTGGCCTTGTTGGTCCCTCTTTCATGGTGGATTAGATCGATTGCTCCTTTCTGTTTGAGGTTACAAAGCGGGAATCGGTCGATAAACCTCTGCATCCGGACTTCAGTGTACATCCATCCATCAGACCTCTCGTTCCCTCACTTCGCTTTGGTTTTTCCCTTAAATTTCTGAGATAGATGATTGGGGACTAAGGAAGTAGTTCGAGTGAGCTGTTAGCGCTGTTTGATGTGATCCATTTGATGCAGATCGTGATTGATTTTTGCAGATATGATGAAGGTACTTCGCAGATCTTTATAGTTGATAAATGATAGTGTCACCAGAAGTAAGATCGTGGTGAATTATGATGATGAATGGAGAGAATATTTAATATGCTCGATCTATGGTCTCCTTATGCCTTTCATTTTGCATCCACGTTTTTGATTCGTTTTCCATTTCATTACCATATGATCTATACATCTTTGGTGGAAAAAAATGTTCCTGGTCCTTGCTGACGCATGTAGTGGGGTAAATGGACAGCAGTGAGATAGAAATCTTTGTTTAGTACGGAAGCTGGCTTTATTGGTTAGTTTGTCAAAAATGATTGATTGGAATATATTCTGAGATGGCTTAAACTTGGTTCTGCGAGGAATAAATGGGAAGATAAAGTAAAGCTGGTCAGATTAGTGTGACATAAAGGCATGGTGTCCTATGAAGATGATCGAGATATATTCCATATTTCGGTCATATAAAGCTTAGCTACAGTAATATTTTTCTCTAAATTTCTCCCATTACATAGAGAACAAATTCAGGATCCCTGAGTTTTACCCAATACGAGATCTGGTGTACCTGTTGCATGTTTAACTCACAACATGAGAAGTCTTAGCCTCGTATTTGGAAGTCAACTTCACTGGTTTTGGAAGATCTCTTGTGCTACCTCGATTGTGAAATCTCATGATGCATCCTTACAAGTTGTGGATGCAAGAATTTCCCCTTATCAGACAACTATGGTTGAAGGAATGCATAGCTGACACTGAAACCTCTATTTTTATTATGTTTGTAATGCTTGTAGGTGTATCTGTATTAATCTATTTAAACATGAATATGTAAACAGGAAATGATACAGTAAATGCATATTTGATGTGAGAGTATGATATGTTGGTGATATATGTCTTTCTTTGTGTGTATTATGTGAAATAACGAAATTCCAATGACTGTATGAATGGATAGGACTCTTGTTGATCTACATATGGAAATATTTGCATTCATATTAATTCATATACTTTTGTTAAATCACATGCATATAACATAGCTACCTACCTGTTTATAGCATGTCTATTGTTGGATATGATTTCACTTGACTGCCTGGGTTTTTGTATTGCATTCTTGTTGCAAAAGCAGAACTTCCTGTGTTTGTGAATTTCACTACCATGCATCTGGAAAGCAATTAGTCGAGTACACTAATGCACTGAAAGTGTGCCAGGCTTTGATTTTTGGGTAACATGGGTAATATCCTTGATATGCTATAATAGACAAGGTGAATGAGAGTATATTATAACCATTTTGAGAGATATAATGTCATCTATGTATCTGAACTTAGTTTTCCTTGATGTCTAAAGGGTCATAGCATCATGTATAGTTCTTTTATATTTTGTCTAAGTTCCAGTTGAGGCCCAGAAAAGGTATGGCGTAACAATGAGCAAAAGCTGGTGGGTGGAGTACAAACATGGTGATAGTCAATTATTGTTTTTCTTATTTTTTCTTTGTTTGTCTAGTTTCCTAGCCAGATTATTGCCTTTTCTATTTATTATATAGAAACTAGAACAATGTTACATGCTAGGGCATGGCTGACTAAACTTGAACACAATATTCCTTTTGTATTTATCGGTATTCACCATATATTAGTTGGTAGATGAGTCAACTATGTTTCTTGAGGGCAGCTTATTTTCTTCCGTATATGTAAAATGTCATGCTAGTACTATTTATTCTTAGTTGAATGTAAAAGCCTTCTTGTAGTTAGTTATCTTTTCTCCTTCTGTATGCTCTTATAAATCTTGATAACTGTTAAAGGGCATCATGTCATTTTTATCTTTTAGAACATTGGAAAGGAATTGAAAGCATGACTAATTATACAAGTCATTCATTTCTTTTAGTTTACTAAAACACACTCTAGTTTCTTCTTTATTTTATGTACTCGTCTGTACTTAGTATCTGTCATAAAGTATTTTAGTTTGGTGCCTAAAAGCTAGACTCTGTTGTTAGTATTGGATATGTTTCTGTAAAATAGAAAGTGGGTTTGGGTGCACAAGGCTCGCACCAATATTGTTAGTGTCCAAAAAGTCTATGTGAAATTATATTATTGAAGTTGCTCATTGAAGAATATAAAAAATCCTTTATTAATTTACCCAAATTTGTTCCACTTGAGTCTTGGACATGCCTAATTTTATATTTGGGCTACCCTCCTGCTAACTTAATTTTTAGATTATGCATATTGGTTTTCAAGTTCAATTACTTTTATTTTTTAATAGGCCTATATGGTCTGGCACCTTGCTAAATGCTGAAAGAGCTTTGGGTTCTTTTCAATCGATGAAAACACACAAAAAACCAAAGAACCAATAAAATCACTGTCCTGATCCTATTTTCTCTTCAAATTTTATCTTTGCATCGTTATAAGATTCAGTTATGGCCATTTGACCCTCAATTTTGTGCACCTTCCTTCAAATGAATTTGAAGAGGATTGGATTTCTTTCAATCATGGGGATCAGTTAAAAACATAAGTTCCGCAGTCTGCAAAACTCTTTTCTGAACAAATCTATTTCCTCTACTGGTGTGATGGTATCGGGTGTAGGTTCAACTTTAGATTCTAGAATTTGATACTTCTATAATTGATTTTGATAATTTTAATGATTCATGGATACATGATTGACAATGGAATTCATGGAACTTTTGGTAGTTATCTGGCCAATATAATAAAGTAAAAGTGTTAAGTTTTTCTATTGCACATATTTATGATATTCTCTGCCAGCAAAATTGGAAATTTTTGTTACGACAATCTTTTTTTATTACACATGCCATTTGTCACCAATTTATCAGGCTGATCCTATTGTGCATGAATGGGTTGCTTATCAATCAGTTTTGCACATACCATTGCAGTCATGTGTTCCCTGTCAAGCGTGCAGGCTAATTTGTAGAGACATGTTTTACTTGACCATGTTTCAATTCTAGGCCATGCTAAAGAATAAAATCTCTCTCGACAAATAGAATATTATGGGTGTGATCTGATATGCTGACAAGCTCTAATCTCTGGTTAGTGAAGGGACCTTCATTTATTAGCTGAATGATTTAGCAAAGTTGTAGTTGACACTGCAGAACTTTCTACAGTGTGGCCAGTGATACATATGCAAGCAATAGGAACTGCTGCATAATAGTTTCCTTATTGCTAGCTCCAAGTGATGAATATGGTGCTCAGCCATCCTTGTATGCCTTCTCAAGATTAATATCATATGGCTCTGGGTATCTTCTTTTCTTCTGCACATGCTCATTAAGATCCCAGTCCTGTTTGACATGACTTTATTGCTACCGCTCTTCTGGCATTATAGTGAAAGCCAAGCCATGAGACTGATTGTGGACCACTTCTACAGCATTTTATGTTGTACTACTTCAATACTTGTTCGACTGTTCGATGCAGTGGATTGATTTCTTAGCAGTGATTACGGGTCCTCCCTGAAACAGTCATTTGTTCTGTGACATCAATGCAGCAGACATGTTAAAAGGTATTACCGAACTTGCATTATATTATTAGTTGCTTTACCTTTATGTTTAAATATGTCCCTTTTACATTATCTGGTCAAGTAATAACGATTTTTCAGCAACAATATTCCCTATATTTAGTGTTATAACATGTATTAGGTTTACTTCGGCCTCCCAAATATGGCCGAGGAAACAACAGTAGAAGATAATGTAGATGTTCTTTAGCAGGGAAGAGACTCAGGGATGAAAAAGGTGATGCATCCCAGACGCCATTAATGTTTGTCCTCATCTAGCTTTAGCGGGTCTATTAGACGTAAGTTATCTGAAAGAAATCTGATCCGCTATCATCCCTTGTCAAGAAGGGTGAGAAGACCGTCAAACGTTTATTGGATATTTATTTATCTCGGCCTAATGCTGGGCTCAAACCCAACTCCTTTGTGAGCAGAACGACTCGGGCTCAAACAACCAACTACAGTCTGCTAATGTGACGCTACATGAGTTGGGCTAAAGCTTCGCACGTTGCGGAACATAGCTATGCCTTTGTGTCGTCTGGGGCCAACGGCGGAGGTTGCCGCGGGTGAGGAGCTTCCTGTCGTCTTGGGTGGTGATGTCAGACATGACGATGACTCCGTGGATTACACCACCACGATAAATTTGATTTAATCCCTTTCGCCCCTTTGATGCTCTTTGATTGATTCCAGTGGCTTATCTTATGGTGGAGCAGTTTCCGAACAAGCTGGTAGAGTATTGCCTCCGCAAGTAGCGGTCTCCACTTCACTGACTAGTGACTGCATGGTACGGTATGAGAATGAATTTTGAAAGTATAATTGTATTTACTAGAATAAATTTTTCAGATAGAAAAGGAATGAACTCATGATAATGTTGAGAAATCTAGGGGTGAGATCACATCCGCAGCAGAAGAAAATAAAAATAAAATCTTCAAAATTTTCATTCGTTGTCGAAGATTGATACGCAAAAATTGTGAAACTTAAAACTGCGTATACGAAAGATTGTGTTACCTAGAGAGATCGTATATCCCTGAATTCCTACAGATCTCTATGAGAAGGTGAAGGAGTTCAAGTGTTCTCCTCTCTAACAGTGATCCATACAGTAGAGCTGTAATGATGCTCCTCAAAACTTAAGCCTGTTATCTGAGGAGGAGAAGGAGAGGAGAATAGGAGAGATAACCTAAAAAGGCTATAGTCTATGAACCATTGGTTCTCTCATATTTATATAGGGCCCCTATCAACTTAACCATAATGGATCCTATCTTATTGGGTATTGGATCTCTATCTAACTACCTAAGCCTCTTAGATTAGTAGATTTTTATCCAATAATATCTTATTGACTTTTATTAGATCTCCTCCATAAGATCTAATAATTCATGTGCTTATTAGATATCCAATAAGATAGGGGCTCCGACGGATATCTCATATCCAACCCTCTACTCATCGCAATGCCTATCATATGTGTGTGATCCTCTATGCCAAATATCGAGCTGGCCGTAAGTCATACCTGTTAGAACTCCTTCTGATTCAGTGAATTATTATTTCCATAATAATTCACTTGACTCATCGACTACGGACGTATTAGGCCATTACGCCGTAGTCTTTAGACGATATAGGAGAATCCAATCCATTGGACCTGTCTGTCCTTAGTTATTGTATACATATAGTCCCTCATCCATCTAATATCTCGGAGATCATATATTGGGCATGGTGCTGTCAGACTCGTATGGTTTCTGCTCAAGTCTCGCTCTAATCGGATTCTTTCAGATAACTCTTTCTCTCTCAATCCGAATGACCTTAGCCAGAGATTTGTCTGAGCAAGAACACATGAGATATTTCTTTTATGACACTGAGAGTGAATGATCCTCTATCGACACTCAATAGTCCTCGTAAGGTTGGCTACCACTCCCGATGACCGGCTATGCTAGATCTGGAACCTCCAGACCTATAAGTACGGTATCAAAGAATAAAGTACTCATACAAGACATCCTTGGTGTCTTAAGTCTAAGGACCATATATACAATTGAGACTATGAAATCGTTATTTGACAATAAGAAATTATCAACCATCCAACATTCCGTAAACGGATCAATTAGTGAACTCATTCTCCAATAAGCACTTGTGTTGTATCCCTAGTGTCCCCACATGAGCAGCTATGAGACCAGCTGTATCCATCATATGGATAGGTATACAATACACCAGTCTGTTCGATTATTTTGATGTCCCTCTCGAGTAACCTATAACCAGGATTATTTACGATCAGCGAAACAGTCTCATTGTAATGATCTCATCACGATCCGATTCTCATTGCACAGATCCATGTATATCACAATATATATATATATATGTAACAATTAATATAAAGTGACAAAATGCTAAAATATAATAAGCAAAAAGACTACGTGTCAAGTCATACGTGTCATCACTCACATGATTGGCTTGTAGAACACCTATGATTAGCTAATAATACCTTAATAAAATAAAAAATAACTCATCACCAAGTTTAAAATCATAAAGGGATATAGAAAGTTTATTACCTCAAGGATAATAAACAAGGATATAGAATTGAAAACGAAAGACTCACCACTAAAGGAAACATCCAAGAGATACAGAGTTAGAGAGAACTTCAAGAGAGCTTCTGCAAATATCATCAGTTTCTAAACTTCTTTCTAACCCCTAAACATTAAAATAAGTACTAATGCATAAAATAACCCTTCATGCATAGAAAATTATGAAATTAAGTGTTTTACAATTAGTAACTAACTCCTTCAATACATATTTGAGTGGGCTAAGTTAAAGGCTGTGAGACAACATTATGAGCTATAGAGAATACCATAGCATCAGTAAGGTCCACACAAACTGATTTGTATCAAATTAGGCACCCCCGTATCAATCTCCCCTAGTTGAAAAAGACTTGTCCTCACGTCCTTATTTGTTTCATCAACATGATTATGATAACGACTTAAATTAGCCACATTAAATATTAGGGGCACTCCATAATCTTCAGGTAGCTCAATCTCATAAGCATTCTTGCCAATTCTCTTAAGCATCTTGAATGGACCATTAGCCTTTAGTTTCAATTTTTTAAATTTTCCTATTGGAAACCTCTTCTTCCTTAGATGAATCCAGACCAAATCACTTGCATTAAACTCCACGTGTTTTTTGTGTTTGTTAGCAGTTTGTATGTACCTCTCATTTTGCTTCTCAATGGTTGCTTTAACACCCGCATGCAGCTTCTTTATCTGCTTAGCTCTTTCATCAGCATTTTCACGAAATTGCTTAGTTGTAGAATGAGGGACTAAGTCTAAAGGATCAATAGGATTAGCATCATAAATAACCTCAAAAGGACTCTTACCAATGCTATGATGCATAGAACGATTGTAGGTAAACTAAATTTATGGAAGAATGAGATCTTATTGCTTAATGTTTTTACCAACATAGTTTCCAAGCAAGTTTCCCAAGCTTTTTTTCATTATCTTAATTTGTCCATCGATTTGTAGATGATGCGAGTTGTTGAAACTCAAAGAAGTACCTAGCTTCCTGCAAGTAGTTCTAAAAAATGGATGAGAAATTTTGAATCTCGATCAGATACCATAGTTCTTGGAATACCATGCAATCTAACAATTTTCTTAAAATACAAATCATCAATATAAGATGCATCATTTGATTTGTTGCAGGGAATAAAGTGAGATATTTTTAAAAATCTATTAATAACAACCATGATAGAATCCTTGTTCCTTTGGGTTCTTGGCAGAACCAAAATGAAATCAAGACTCACTTTTCTCTCATGGAGCATTTGGCACTAGCAATGGAGTATACAAACTAGAATTTTGATTTCTTATTTTTGTTAAATGAGACACTCGACATTGTTTTACATGTCTCTCCACATCTCTGAACATCTTAGACCAAAAGAAATTTGATTGAACAAGAGCTAGTTTTGTCCCTATCGAAATGTCCTCCCAAAACACCACTATGAGCTTCAACTAGAATTACTTGTCTCAAAGAACAAGATGGAATACACAAGACATTAGCTCGAAAAAGAAAACCATCGAAGATAGAAAATGATTGAAAGGAACTTGATTTACAATTCTGCCATATTGAGCCATAATCCACATCATTTTTACAGAGATATTTGAATGTCTCAAATCCAACAATTTTGACTTCCATTGCTGATAGTAAAGAATTCTTTCTACTCAATGCATCAGCAATTACGTTTTGAACATCAGATTTGTGCTTGATTGTAAAGTTATAAGATTGCAAGAACTTCACCACATGCCTCTTGTTTAGCTTGTGCTGGTGATTAATGAACCTTAATGTCTTATGATTAGAATATAGGACAAATGACTTGACAAGAAGATACCAACTCCAATGAGATAAAAATCGATAAATGGCATAGAACTCATTATCATAGGTATAATATTTTCTTCTTATATCATTTAGTTTTTCACTAAAAAAGATAATGAGCTTTCCATCTTGACTCAAAACAGCATCAATTCTCACATTAGAGGCATCACATTCAACCTCAAACACATTGTCAAAATTAGGTAGAACTAAGATAGGAGTTTCGGTCACCTTTCTTTTTAACATTCAATGGGATCATCAACCTCATTAGTCCACTTGAATTTATTATCTTTTAAGCATTAAGTGATTTGAGCAATAATAGAGCTGAAACCCTTAATGAATCTCCTGTAAAAGGAAGTTAAGTTATGTAAACTCCTCACATCATGCAATGAAGCAAGTGTTGGCTGCTAGTCATAGGTGCCCTACAAACCAATCACGCGAGTGATAACACATGTGACATGATATACATTCTTTTTGTTTATTATATTTTGATAATATCCATGGATCTGTGCAATGAGAATCGGATCATGATGTCATTTCCTTTTTGCAGCCAATATAATTGGTATGGATGTGGATGAGAGATTGTGTCTAACTTCAACTTCTATACCATCTCTATAGATACGGCATTCTCAAAGTTGCCACTATCGATGATCACTAAGCATACCTTGTTATGAGAAGTGCATTTAGTGTGAAACATGTTCTTTCTCACCCAATTTTTATCATCGGCCACATAGGACACTTGTAAGCTACGTTGCAATACAATAGACAAACAATGATCAGTATAAGTAACTTCTTCCTTAACATCATCATCATATTTTGGTTCATCATCGGCTCTTCTCTATTGATCTTCAACCAAAGTAATAATCCTCCCATCTGGACAATCTGAAGCAATATGCCCGAAACCATGACATTTGAAGCATTTCCGACCACTTGGGGTAGAAGAATTATGTGTTTGTTTGCTGCCAACAGATCATTCACCATTGTCTTGCACTTTTGATACCACCTTGCTTTGACCTGTACCGAGAACTCTTTTGATGCCACTTGGGGTAGTAATGTTGGAATTTTCTCTTTTCGTATAGCCTTTTTTTTTTACTCTTTTCAAACTTCTATTGCTTTTCAACTTTTAAAGCCAACTTGTTCACATCATTTAAAGACCAATATGACTATAGTTGACCCACTTTAGCAATTTTATATTTCAGGCCTCCTAAGTATGTTTACTCTTTTAGTTCCACAAGCTCTCCTTTTAACATGAGATTATCGAATTTTGCTGTGTACTCCTCTATACTAAGATCTTTTTGTTTGAAATCATGGATTTTAAAAAAGATCTCTTTCTTGTCTATAGTTGTCAAGTAAATATTTCCTCTTCAACTCACTTTTCATTTTCTCATGATCTTACTCTTCCCCTCACTTTCTCTTTACTTTTTTAAATTTTCCTACCAAAAAGAT